CACGCGCGTCTGCGCATGCGTGCGCGCAGCCCTGTCTCTCACCTAACCAGTACTGTGTTGAAGTTCCCGGCCTCCCAGTCCAGACTCTGGTTCTCCACCCGCGCCAGCCCAAAACCCAGCACCAAGAAGAGCAGGGTGAGGGTCACCATGCGGGTGAAGACGAAGCCCACTGCCCACATGTCAAACCTGCACAGAAGAAGGCAAAACGTTCCTCAAGCAGGATTCTGACAAGCTATGAAAACAACATCAAAACCTGGACAGTCGAATGTGTAAAATACATCTTACAAGATCGCACCTGATTGGACACAAACAATCACACTTACATTTAGTCACACAGCAGATGTCTACATTGCATTTGTAATTATTTCTTTAACTTCTGTTGAAAGTGCTCAAGCATACTAGTCAGGAAAGCTCAGGATCACAAAGCAGGATAATCCAACATCCCTGGAGTAGTTGGGGCAATGACCCAACTACAAGGGCCCAGTAGTGACAGGCTTACTGTACTAGGTATAGGATTTGAACCCATAACTGGTACAGAAACAGGCACAGATTTCAACCTCACTGAGATACATATGAGGTACAGTAAGGAGCATGCACTGATTACAGCGCCTTGCCACATCCACCACACGACAAACCACCTCTGGGATGAGAACCTGAGTGCAGCCATGTGAGGGGTGAGACCCCAGCACCACACGAGTCTGAAAAGGAACAGTGTGAGTTTTTTCCCGGTGGCTGGAGTGTCGATCCTGCAAGATACATATGGATCTTATCAAGAGCAACTTCTACCCAAGTATACAGCTTGGCATTTTTCAAGAGCACAATGTATGAAGCTTCGCAGGACTGGAGTCAATGACTTTTGAGTTACGAGTCCTTAACCGCTAAGCTACCGACTTCCCCTAGTTAACCAACTGGCTGGAATCAGTACTGAAGACAGGAGGGACGCAGCTATACTCACAGTCTGTGGTGGCTCTCATCAGTGAGGTAGAGGAGGCGGGAGGCGTGGAAGCCCATCTCTGACAGGTGCTGCAGAAACATCAGCAGCAGCCCCACGCGGGTCAGGCTGTGGGGGAGACGGAGCGTCAGCAGGTGGCGCTGCAATGCCAGAGCCACATTCTGAGGGCGGCAGGGCAAACTGAGGGCTTACTTGAGTAGATACGCCATCAGGATGTGCAGCAGGTACAGCGAGATGTACTGTAGCCGTCGAGGGACATCCTCCTTCGGAGGATAAAATCATTGCTAAATTTCCGATCTTCATTCCTTCTAACTCTGGACAGACCCATATTTTTGTTTCATCCCAGTTCTCAGAACACCTGACCCAAGCAATCAGGAGCTCGAAATACCATATAGGTGTGCTGGGAGCTGGGATGGAACAAAAATGTGGATCCGTCCAGTGTGCCCTGTGGACTGGTTTGGGAAATACTGGCATAGAGACTTAACATACATTCAGTAAGAAAAACAGGCAGTAGTGTCATGCTTGAATGATACCTATAGTCCTACACATTTAAGGACACATCAGTTTCTTCCATTAAGCGACATAATGACTCCCCATATTTAACATATAAATTTCCTAATCTTTCACATGGAACAGAAGTCTCCATAAATGTAAACAGACAGCTGGATGAGGCTTTGCTCGTTCTACATCAAAATGATGATTCAGTTCCTTGTGGCATAAAATTCAGGAACACACCCGGTTCATTTGTGTCCACAAAAGGGAAGTTTTCTAGTGTCGTATTACACTTTTCAGACACATACAGAAAAATAGAAAGAGGGCACAGTGGAACACACCCCCCCCTCAAAGAACAGAAATACAGCCTTATGAAAACCTGTCATTTTAACTATAGTTGTAACCCAAAGGTGGTAGGTTTACAATCAAGGAGACAACCGTCATCCTTTACTTTTGGAGCTTAAACCGTCAGTAACTTTCATGCAAAATGTGTGATGTAGCAACTTCTACGTATAATTGTAATTCTCATTATGTTTTTAATGGCCAAAATCGGCATGTGGAGCATGCGATCTCATGTACCTTCCGGATCTTCTGAAAGTAGAGCTCAGGCAAGGCGTGGAGCCAGAACGCCAGCTGGGACAAGTAGTAAAACTTCACCTGGAACCTGTGGGCAGAGTGTCCTTACCAGCAGAGTCCTCAACGCTTGTATGATTATCCTTTGATTCCACAGTAAAGTCATTATGACCTCATCAAAATCTGAATTCTCCTTCTGAACACCTTTTCAGACTTCTGCTGTCAGAGGGGTTACAGGGCCCCGTATGCTCACACGGCAAGACTGGAGAACAGCTGTCACGCTGCTAAACATTCTTAGCCTACTCTCCCCTCTCAAAACAGCACCACACTGAACTGAGCTCATACTTATCCATACTACACACGCAGAATATGCAGCTTAACTGTTCTGCCTTCTAGCCAATCACCCATGTCGACTGTATGACAATGCTGCAATCACATTCATCTCAGAACCACAGCTGTGCTTCATATAATCCAATATACCGTGCAATACTGTTGACAATGATCATTACCCTGCAGTAATGCTTACAACTCTCAATCGTTACCTTTCTCAGGTGCAATAATTAATCTAATGTGCAATATTCCTCTGATACTTTTATCCTATGTATTTGCATTTATACATTGCTATATGCTATTTATTTTTTCTTAATTTTTTTTTTAGCTTGCATAGTTTTTATTGACACTTCAACCGTCATCTCACTGTACTTATACAGAGACAGTAAAGATATCTCACATCCAACAGCTCCTCAGAAGGCAGAACAAGCCTGTCTGGGGTACCTCACCACGTTTTACAGGAACCACATTTCAACGCTCTTCCCATCATCCTTTGTCATGTCAACACTAATTATTAAATTATTATTAACCTATAGGCTCATACCCAGTTTCCAGGTGCTTACCTGAGGTAAACATGAGGGTAGTTCTCCCACAGACTGCTGATATTTAGAAGATATCCTTCCTGAATGCAGAAAGAATAAGAGATTGTAACCCTCAGTAAAAGTGACACGTGACCATTTGAACCTGTGCCCTGCTGAGATGGCCAAGCTCACCGTGATCAGGATGTAGAACGTCCACGCGGAGGACAGCAGGTGAAATACACACAGCTGGCCTGACTCATTAAACTTTGTGTTCTTACTCTTTGACAGACGGAGACGCCGGTTTGCTCTCTGATGGGTGAAGAATGCAAAGGATGTGGTCAGTCGAATTAGAAAAAACAAAGTGAAGCAGCACTTCCTGAGCAAAATCATTCACACTTTGGGATGTTTGATAACACAACAACCTTCAAAAAGGCTGAACAGTTCACTCCAAATTTAAGCCACTCACTGTAGCAAAACATATATGCTACCCATAATTCCAAGGGGCCAGGTACTCACATCAAGGATATACTCCTGAACCACCGCATGGAGGATGATAGCAATGAGGAAGTAGAAGAAGGTGGTGGTGCAGTCCCTCCATCCGTAGCGATATAATGACACCTCCCCCTCTACATCAGGCAGAAAGTGACAGAATGAAGCACAACACTGTGGACAGTGTAGGCCAACCAGGCAAAAATTGTATGTGATTTTGGGTGGAGTTCTCAGCACCCAAAGCGAAGAGGAGTTTACCTGGTGTAAAGGTACTGCTGTTGTACTGAGGCAGTATAAAGACGAAGGCCGTTTTTGAAGTTGTCTGAAAGAAGAGTAGAAACATGGTATTTTAGAGCTCTGTTGTTCTGCAAACTATGAACAAGTGGAAGACATACAAGAATATTTAGAATGGCATCAAGATAAAGATCCATCACCAGCCTAGTCTTTTCAGAAAGTCATAAATAGTTTGATTATATTATTGTTTTAAAGGGGCAGCTCACCTCAAAAATTAAAAAGAATATGTTTTGAGAGGTTTTAGTGCTATCCATCCATCTAGGTTTCTTGTAAGACACATTGCTGTTGAATTTTTCAAATGTATTTTTTTGTTGCTTTAAACACCACAGAAACAATGCCATTCAGTTCTGTTACATGTTACATTCGACAGAAGATCGACATGTTTACGGCAGATATCTCCAAATCTAGGCAACTCCCAGCAGAACAATCTTGATGGACAGATAGCACTAAGACAACCCCCCGTAAGACATATCTTTTTCAGTTTTGGGTTGAAATGCCCCTTTATTAGCCATTAAGTCGAAAAAAAAAAAAACAGGAAATCATGTATACTACATACATAAATCACTTGCTGCTTATTAAATATGTTAAACACTGAACCCAGTTCTGAATAGCTGTAAAAATTATTTTACATGCAACGGCTATTAATATAATACGATGCACCGTAATTCATACTGTACGCAAGAAAAACAACACTCCGTGTGTGTGTGTGTGTGTGTGCGCGCGCGCGCGCGCGGGGGGTCCCCTTCTACTTTGTGAATATTTGCGGGACACGATGGACTTGCACCGAAACACACATCTGTGAAATTACGTTTTCTGCAGAGTCAACCTTGCGCACATTCCAGGCGAGCCAGTCCACATGTACCCGCCTGCACCGAACCCGCAGGTCCCGCAGCAGATGTCACTAGCGCTCAGCATTTACACAACCATGAGTCGCACCTCAACAAGACTAAATATTAGTGCAAAACTTCGGGTGGAAAAATAACACTACAGAGAACAACCAAGAGTCAACGATTTGCATGTGTGACAGCTGCCAGGTTCACATCCACTTTGAAAAATAAAAACGGAATTACCCTATGATTATTACAATACCTCTACCGCTTTTTGAAGTCAGATTTTTTTTAACGATTTAGGGAACTCGGATATACATTTCGCCACAAAGATTTTTTCCCAGAGTAGTAATAGGAAACACAGATTAATAAGCATTTCTGTATTTAAAAAAAAACACACCATATATTATCACGTGGCAGGGTTATTAATTAACCTATTTATCTGTAGAATCTGATTTCTAGATTAATCTTCTTTCCGATCCAATTAATAGGCTGAGACGTGGCGCAAAGTAATGCGCATAACGCTAACCAATCTATGCTTCAACCGAAACATTATCAAATAAACACATTTATCACGACTATGACAATTCCTAAACTCATGCACGCCTTTAAATTCATATACTAAACGGATTTACAGAAAAATGCAGCGAGCAGGCTAACTGCGCTCCTTTATCGCGAGACGCTCAATCAGAAAAGTACAGCGGCAATTAAGTTACTCAATCAACGCGATTAAACGGAGTAACTACCGCATTAACAATATTCCCGTCAATGACCCTGTACGTTTTAATAAAAACGATTAAAAACCAACGCGGAAAGAGAGGAAACACCAGGACGATAAAGGAAAACTCAAAGCAGAACAGAGCACAATCACAAATCATATCCAACTCCAACTTTTTGGGGTTATTAAACCTAATATCTGTTATGCGTTATTGAGCTAACTGATCACACACAGCAGCCAAACACTTAAGGAGCAAAATGAGTCAGAGCTGACTTGCCCCCCAAAACAGCCAGTCAGCAAAATTTAAGTGAAATGCCACATTTTACAAGCACCCTTATAGATTTTATGCGCACTCCAGCCATAAAGAAAAAAAGTTGACAGCTTCAGTTCAAATTTGACTTTTCTCCCCATTAACGACAACAACACCAATAGCAGGCTAATGATAATGCAGGTCTCTGCTGTACGCTATAAGTTTCACTTTTTAAAACGTGCATTTGTCGTCACAGACTGAACTGATCTCTCGTGACTCGTGTCTCCTTCCTATCCGATAACTTCTGGGAATTTGGGCATCTTCATCTTCATCACCTTCCTATCTCCGTGCGCATCTGCACCTCCGCCGGACCTGTTAGCGTCCGGACAGCCCTCCACACTGATCAAATAGAACACTCTATACGGAGTATTTCACCTCAAACATCAGTCCAAGCAGGATGAACACCACCAAGCAAAGGACGATGTCTGCGTGATTCTGAATGAGAAATTCTTGACTGAAGAATGGGTAGCTCTTGTTCCTTCTCCGAAAAGCCATTTCTGCCCTTCAGACCCTCCTTTCCGCACTGTGTCCACCCTTCTCTGCACTCAAAGAAAACTTTAAGCGCAGTCTGCAGTTTGCGACTCATTTTTTTGCACATGCGCAGTACATCTTAAAGAGACATTTGTGTTTTTTTAGGGAAATGTCTTTAGAGCTGCGTATACGGTATGGTAATTGCAACAACGATGCGTGCTTAAGTATAGTTTCTGGTGAATTGGTGTGTCAACTTTTTAAATACTATTATACAAGTGCCCCCAAAGTGTTTGGGATTCGTTTCCCTATTATTATGTAAATTGAATATTTAAATGTATTTTAACATCAATTTATAACTATAATCGAAAAAAAAACGTCTGTTCATTATCCAGGAAGTGGTTGGCCGGAGCCTATCTCAGACAACACAAACTAAGGCATGTATAGCAGTCCAACAGATGGCCCATGCACAAACATTCACAATAGTGAATAGTGCTAGTCAGAATAGTGCTAGTCAGTCCCAGGAGTTAGTGGGGTTAAGGGCTTTGCTCCAGGAGAAATCATTCTGCTGATCACAGGATTTAAACCAGCAACCTTCCAATCACTTAGCCATCACCTCTAGCACAGCATGTTATCCTGCTGACAAACAGCACCCCCTGGCAGTAACTCCCCGCATGCAGAATGGGGGCAGGATTCAAACCCAGGACCCTTGAGGTGTGAGGTTGCAGTGCCACCATGTGAGAAAGAACAAACATACTTCACAGACACAGATATAATTGGACGTCTTCTGGTAATCAGGATCAGTCAGATAAATTTGGTAAAATAGGATAAACTAATCGGATTCCCTCTGTAATCTCGGCCTGAAAAAAAAAAGCAACAAAACATTACTGTGTTTAAAAAAATCAGCACACTGGGCTTCACAATGTCCTTGTTTAGGATCTTTCTCGTAATCCAAGTAGTACATCTAACCCAGTGAAGTTTCATAATTTTATTTGGCATGACTTACACCATCTCTTTCATTCTCCTTGAATGAGCCTTCTTATGGCCTTGGGTCAAACCTTCTTTGTGGAAACAGATCTGTAGGGCGCCCGATCAAGCAATGCAATCCGGCTGTTAAAGAGTTTTCGAGCAGATGTGGAGTATTATCCTCTGAAGTGTGTACAAGTAGTAAAGCGCACATGCGGATTTGAAAACAATCAGGCCCCAGACTCACCTCAAGAACATAAGCACTGGAATGTAGAGTTAACATCAACCTCTCCACCCTCTACATCTGCAGTCCTTGTGTTTTATTCTGTTACTATGTGTGTTATTGTCTCTACCATTGTATTTAATTTTTTTTTTGAGTTAATGGATGCCTAAATTTCCTTCGGGATTAATAAAAAAAACAACTTTCTATGTATCTATCTATCTATCTGAGGTTGATTCATACATTTTCTAGCAGATTGAGTAAGTTACATATAGGCATATTGCATTTCAACATATAAAAAGATCAAATAATTGGTACTAAATAATAATTGTCAGTTCAAGCCCTGGCTTCAGCAGAACAGTCACATGTCTGTGGGCCCTTGAGCAAGGCCCCTAACCCCCAGCTACAGGGGCCCCACACCTTGGCTGACCCTGCGCTGTGACCCCCAAGCTTTGAAGAACAACATGGGTCTGCAAAGAGAAGGATTCCAATGTACCTGTATTTGGGCAAATGGCAAATAAAGCATTTATCATTTATCATGATCATGTCATAAATATGTAGCAAACAGAATTTAAGTCATTTAGACCTTTTGTAGGTGATGATAATAATTTAATAGACAGCAAAAGACCAGTAGATGTGTTTTAGAGGATACAATTTATTTTTAACAAAAGTCACAGTAACTGAGTAATGTCAGCCAGCTCACTTTAATTATAGCACCTGCAATCTGTTATTGCATAAGGCTTATTCAGCTTCTGGTAAATAATCTTTACCAGTAGATCATGGATTGATGATTAGCAATGCCCAGCCGCTTTTCCTATGAAATAAAACCACAGTTTATAACCATCAGTACAGGTCACATTGGTCACAAGAAAAAAATCAAAAAAGAAAATCTGCACGAATGATTAAAACATCATACAAATTATATAAAAATACAAAGCAACAATCTTTCTTTCCAATATGTGGCAGATACCTTAAAATGAAATATTATTGCTAATATTCAATGGATATAAAGATACCGTAGACTGAAAATCACAAACACATCAAGAAAACTATTCTGTTCAAAATTATACAGAAAAAACTGATATGAATATAACAAAGGTATGTATGCATACTGAAAGTATGCCTATCAAGTAGGATATAAATATATGCATCAGAACATGTCACAGAAACTCAAATACAAAATTAAAACATAAGAGCTAGGGAACAAATTAATTATAATTAAATATATAAATTAGTTTCCGAATATTTTATCCAACTAACATGGATTTGAGACTTTATCCATCAATAAAAATAATAAATGCATATCAATTTTTTGCTGCAAAATTCATACCTTCCCTTAAAATAATGCAGCAATAATACCATTAACTTTATGGAAAAGTGTAACCATATTTAGACCAAGTGGTCAGTTTGTGCCTGTATTTCTGACCAAAGAAATCTGTACCTTTTCACACATGGCCTTCATTGTCAATAAGAGAATCGTTCATTAATATAAAATTAACCGTATAAAGAGGGAGTCTTTCAAATTCATAAAAAAGCACAATCTCTTAAAAATCCTTAAAAAGTTCAGATGTTGACGGGCTTCCCCAGTCCCACCAGCGAGGGACACGCTAGCTTGTCCTGCTGAATGCGACTTGAGACCTTATGGCTTGAAACGTTTTTGACGGTGACGACAGCGACGACTCGGGTCCACGTGAGTAAGGAGTGTGACACTCCCACGGTAGTCGGGCTGGACACTCCTCACCTACCTCACTGTAGAATGAAACCTTCTCCCCACTCTTTATTGCCTAATTAACTATTGTGAAACGAAGATTTAAAATCCATGCAAATATCTGAGCTCTGTAAAACAGTAATGATTAATACTGCTATATTATTACCATACTGTAGAAGCTCCAGTCATTCTTACATGGATACATTAGCTTTCATCTCTTAAAGGGGAAAAGGAAAGAACATTTTAAGAAAAGATAATCCATCTTCTAACTGATTATCCTGAGCTGGGTTACACGGCATCTTGGAGTCTATCCTAGGCAACATAGGGCACAAGGCTGGGGTCAACCCTGGATGGGATGGCAGTCCATCGCAGGGCACATGCATGCATATGCTAGAGGCAATTTAGAAACTTTAGAGATTTAGTGATTTCCTGCATGTCTTTGGGCTGAGGAAAAAGGGGGGAGGGCATGCAGACTCCCCACAGAGAGGACAAGGGTGGAATTCGAACCCTGGGCACAACAGCGCTATCCACTGCGCCGCGGGGCCATCCGTAAACGGCGCAAAATGAACTTCACAAAAATATCAGTATCAGAAAAACAATCACAGCAGATTCAGCCCCTTCAAGAGTCTGGATGCCATACAGGATTACAAAGCATTTACAAAATATGAAAAACCAAAAGGTAAAAGAAAAATTAAGAGAATTACAATACAAAAAACCCAATTTGTACATTTAAATAGTTTTCCTTCCAATGAGTATATGCATACTGAAGGCTCACCTATTTAGGCTGGCTTGCTTAGTCTTGTCTGTTTTCCTTTTTCCACTACAGTTTATTTTTATTTACCTATCTATTTATTTATTTATTTATTTATACTATTATTATATATATATATATATATATATATTACTTATACCTTTTTTCCTTCTACCTATTGCTTCTAGCCTCTATTTTTTCCCTCTGGTTTCTGTTTCATCACCTCCTTAATCTTATGGCTATTTTACTTCTACTAACAGTCTCACTTTGTTTTAACTGGTTATTTTACAGTTTAGCGCATTTGGTACGAGAGATGTCATTAGAAATAAAATTTACTATTATTATTATTATTGTAAGCTTAAATATTTGTACCATTAAATGAATAAAATATATATTAAATCCTACATAAAATGATATATAAAGGCAAATGAAAATAAAGACAAATTCAATATAGCTAGGACATTTTAAATAGTGACACTAAAAGATCTCGTCCACAATTTGAGTGTTGAAATGTACACTGGCCACATTTCAGGAGTGTCTGTCGGACAACTTTGTTTGTAAATCCAAAGAAGGTCCCTGATTCTCTCCAGACAAAGGCATTGTTTCGTACGCGCAGAGCATTTGTGCTTATACAACTTTAACTTTCAACGTTTTTCTCGACGTGTTTAAAACATCAGGTCCTCATTTTTTCCTGGACGACACGAACAACCTCCTGGAGCCTGCAAGATGGCCGCCTGCGGACTCCTGAGGTGCTGAGTCTAGTTTCGGCGTGGATGTGTAGCAGGGCTCCACCCTTCCCAGCAGGCCCCTGATACTGCGTGACGGGCCGGCCTCACCTGAGATAGGGCTCAGTTCTGATAGGATCTGCACAGCCGGCTCCCTGTCCAGCCCAGTGTTGCTGGCGCTGCTGGGAGACTGGGGCTCAGCGCTAAAGTAGAGCGTGGAGCTGGACTCTGTCGGGCAGAAGTTGACCTCGGGGCTCCCTCCCAGTCCTGACTTACCTTCGGGGGAGCTCCTCTTGAATTCGGACACGGGCGACCCTAGGGGGCTTTCCATCTCCAGGCTCTCGCCGTCCTCCTGGGTCGCGTCAGTCGATGCCGCTTCGCTCGCGCTGTGGAAGTCCTCCTTCATGTCCGAGAGGGGCGCCATGCCACACTTCTGCTCCAAATCCGGCGTCGTGGCCACTACCACCGCCTTGATGTCTGGAATGCGCTGCCTCGCGTCCAGCATGCCGAGCAGGCCGCCGCTGCCGTAGGCCAGGTCGATCCGGCCTACATCTCCAGTCTTCAGCGCCAGGCGGATCAGCAGCCAGTGGTGGTGCCCATGTCGGCCTCCAGGGATGGGACCTCTGCTCGCCGGACGCTCCGGCAGCGACCCAGTGAACGTAAAGCCGCTGTGTGCCTGAATGGTGGAGATGGGCAGGCCCTTGTCCCCCATCGAATAGGACGACTCCTCTCTCTCCAAACACGCCCTGCTAACATGGCCCTGACCGAATCTTTGGCATATCTCGGTGGATTTCGGGTGTAGGAAGCGGTAATACAGAATCACTGAGGCCATCCCTGCGAGGGGGAGACAGAATGCGAGATCAGTGATGGACCCGATAGGATAGTTTTTTAAAAATCTAATCTGGACATAATTATAGTCCATGGAGGAGCAGAAAACTCTGAAAAAGGTTTAAACCCACGTGAGCTGGAGGCCAGGTGGCACTTGGGTTGGAAATCGCTCAGGAAAACATGCGTGCGCTTGTGGTAACATTTTCATTCCAAGTTGCAGAAAACTACCCCCATCTAGCGGTTACATTTTCTGGAAAATGATCCTTGAATCCCTGGATCCCATAATTATCCAGCAGCCATGGAAGAAATTACGATGGTGGCTTAGCTGCTGCCTGATTCAACCCATAAAATAACCAACAAGAAGAAAGGCAAACCATCCTTTGTTAAACAGCACCCACCAATCCCAAATTGGTTCTCACCTACACATGAAGTTTGATAGTATTGGGCAGAAGAACAGCTATATTTGATTCCATCTCCTACCTTCATGTACAGCACCTGACACCATCCATCATCCCTGATTTACCCACAGTCATGTTATTAAACATCAACTCATGCCCTACCCAGGAGGAAACTGCACATCACCGCGGTGGGGATGCTCAAGCTTTCCCATGATGCACCATTCAGGAAGTCAGAAGCGGCAAGCACAAGGGTCGCATTTTCCAGCAACATGACCTGCAACAGGTGGAGGGGAGGACTCAGTTTCCCAGCATGCTGCCTGCCGTGACACACTACAGCAAAGCCCACTACTTCAAAGGGAAGGTTAATATGAGAGATTCGCTTAGTCTGAGCTGCCCACATACAGACATCTTCAGACTTCACTGGCCCATCTTAAAAGCCTCTTCCAGGACATGCTGTGTTAATTTTGCCTGGCGTTCCCTGCTACATGCGCTGTTGGGTTACCTGTAGCAGCATCGCTTATGCTTCATTAATTGTGCTTGTTCAGCAATGTTTTGTATATTTAGAAAAAACATTAATTGTGTTAGATGTACTTTATCAGCTAAACAAATAACTGGAAGCAAATGGCTTTGTTTTAGCACTACTGGGAACTGTGCTGTTCCACAGGGTGAACCTGGGGAGAATGTGAGCCTGGAGGCAGGGGGGGGGAGGCCTACCAAATAAAAGCCTGTCATGCGAAACCTGGAGGGCCCATCCTTCACGTTGAGGAAGAAGAAGACATGCACTGCCCCCAGGGTACAGTTGAAAAGACGCCAGTGCCACGGCTTGGCACAGATGTCCGCTTGTTGCGAGACGAGCCAGAAGGAGGCCGTCAGCCAATGAAAACCTTGAGATGGGTGGGGGAGGGAGGGGCCAGAGAAGATGTTCACTCGCTACTGGTCAGGCAGTACAGTGCAGAGAGGAGGTATAAAGAGAGTGTGTGTGTGTGTGTGTACGTGCGTGTAGATTAGGGTTAAATTATATTGCGGGGACCAAATGTACCCCACAATGTAATACAAACCTGTTATTTTGATTTTGTGGGGACCATTTTTCAGGTGTGAATGCAATCAAAAAACTAAAACTGCCAAAAGTCTTGTATTTTGTTTGGTTACTTATGGTTAAGGTTAGGGCTGGGTAGGGGTTAAGGTAGTCATGTTGGGATTAGAGTCCCCACCAAGATATAAATACAAGCCCGTGTGTGCATGCGCGTGCATACATGCGTGTGTGTGTGTGTGTGCATGCAAAACTGGAATCTTGATCCCTTGCTGTGCAGAAGATGGGGAGTTGTGCTCCACTGATTCAGCACAAATTGCTGACACAGCGACTGGAAAGAGCCTCACAGCTACAAACATTTACATTCAATCATATTTATCTAGAGTCATTTGCAATGTTTACTCCATTTAATACAGCTGTGCATTTTACAGTGTGTATGTTTACAGCCTTGCTGACGGGTACCTGAAACGCCAACCTGTGTGTGACGAGCCACCACCCATCATTAAGTGGCACTCTGTTGCCAGCGCAGGCTAAGGTGCTAAACAGCTATAACCTGTGTTTGGACCCAGCGCACCTGCTACTCCGAAGGCCCACCAGTGGAAGATGCGTGCGAAGACCACGAGGCTGGCGATCCTGCTGCCCAGCATGCAGACCCTCCAGAGCAGCTGGCACAGCAGGGCGGCGGGCGGCATGGCCAGGTGCCCCGGCCGGATCAGGCAGCACGCCCGGCTGTAGAGGACCAGCGCCCATGACAAGGACAGCAGGCAGAGGCCACAGCACAGCGCCACTGGGGGGAGAAGGACACATTCCCATAAAGACGTCCTCGGGACAGCGTGTGGCCCAGTGGGCTAGGCCTCTTACAGGGCCCATAAGGGGAAGGACACAGTCCCATAAAGATGTCCTCGGGACAGCGTGTGGCCCAGTGGGCTAGGCCTCTTACAGGGCCCATAAGGGGAAGGACACAGTCCCATAAAGATGTCCTCGGGACA